ATATACAAGATAAGATTTAAACATGGACATAAAAACATAAAACATTAAGGGGAGTAAAAGTATAAAGCTTCAGAATTCATGTGAATAAAATGTTGTAACTCTAAAATATTTTATGTAATTTTCATGGTAAACCACAAAGCAAAAATCTATAGTAACTACACACAAGATAAAGAGAAAAGAATCTAAACATAACATTGCAGAAAGTGACCAAGAGAAAAAAAAGGAAAAAGGGAATTAAAAAAAAGCCACAAAACAAATGACAAAATGCTGATAAATCCATACCTAATTACTTGAAAAGTGAAGGGACTAAAATTTCCAATCAAAAGGCATAGAGTGATTGACTGAATACAAAACAAGACCTAACTGTATGCTGTCTACATGAAATTCACTTCAGGTTTAAGGAAACACAAAAAAAGAAAGTGAAGGAACAGAAAATGCTATTCCATGTAAATGGAAACTAAAAGAAGGCTGGAAAAGCTATACTTATATAAGACAAAATAGATTTTAAGGCAAAATATGTAGTAAGAGTCATTATATGTCCATCAACTGATGAACGGATAAAGAAAATGTGGTGTATATACACAATGGAATATTACCCAGCCATCAAAAAGAATGAAATCTTGCCATCTGCAACAATGTGGATGGAACTACAGGGTATCATGCTGAGTGAAATAAGTCAGTCAGAGAAAGACAAACATCATATGATTTCACTCATAATGTGGAATTTAAGAAACAAAACAAATGAATATAGGGGAAGAGAAGGAAAAGCAAAATAAGACAACATCAGAGAGGGAGACAAACCATAAGAAACTCCTCTTAACTCTAGCAAACGATCTGAGGGTTGCTGGAGGGGACGGGGGGGTCGAGATGGAGTAACTGGGTGATGGACATTAAGGAGGGCGTGTGATGTAATGAGCACTGGGTGTTATATGCAACTAATGAATCACTAAACTCTAAGTCTGAAACTAATAATACACTGTTAATTAATTGATTTTAAATAAAAAAAAATTCAAATAGCATGTCAGCAATGAAAAAGAAACAAGAAATCAAAGGTAAAAACTTCCAGTTACAGTAGCGCCCCCCCCAACCATGGAGGGTATGTCCCAAGACCCCCAATGGATGCCTGAGAACTGTGAATATTACTCAACCCTATACATACCATGTTTTGTTCTATCCACACATACCTATGGTATAATTTAAATTTTATAAAGTATACCACAGTAAGGGATTAACAACAACAGGATAGAACAATTATAATAACGTACGATAATAAAAGTTACGTGAATGCAGTCTCTTTTATCTCTGACTCTTAAAATATCTTATTGTACTGTACTCGCCCCCTTGTTTTACTTGTGTGATGATAAAAATGTCTACATGATGACATGAAGTGTGGTGAATAATGCAGGCATTGTGACACAGCATTAGGCTAATACTGACCTACTGACAAACAAAAGAAGGAAGATCATATTCTTCTGGACTGTAATTGACCATGGGTAACTGAAACCATGGAAAGTGGAGCTGCAGGTACGGTGGGACAACTGTACAAGATAAGTAAGTCTAGCGATGTTAGGTACAGCACGGTCTCTCTGGTCAACAACACTGTATTGTATATTTGAAAGTTGCTAAGAGAGTAGATCTTAAAATTCTCATCGCATACCAAAATGTGCAACTTTGTGTGTTTACAGATATTAACTTAGTGTGGTAATAACATTGCAATATATACCTATATCAAATCATTATGTTGTATACCTAAAACTAATACATTATATGTCTAAAACCAACACCGTGTTATATGTCAATTTTATCTCAATATAAATAAATAAATGGGTAGATAGAGAAAATGAAACTCTAAAAGTACAAAGGATGAAAAAGGGAAAAAAAAATAGGCAACAATAGTAAAATAGTACACATAATTGTATCAATAATTACATTAAATTTTATTGGAATAAATGCTCCAATTAAAGATTTTTTTTATTGAGAGAAGAAAGGGGTCAATTATATGTTGTCTACAAGAAACATGCATTTTAAATATAAAGAGAGAGATAATTGAAATTAAATGGTTAGGAACACATATCCCTTGCAAACAGTAAGCATAGGAAGACTGAATTAATAACATTAATTTTAGATAAAATTTGAGAGCAAGAATTAAAGGGGACATTTCATAAGGATAAAAAACAAACTACAGCTTTTAGTTTAAAGGTCTTGCATATTTTCTGCTAAATTTATAATGAAGACACATGTGGGTTTTTTCAATAAAGGCAGAATTAGTATTTGAAACAAATGAATGAACATCCATAGCATAATCTCTCAGTAAACTAGAAACAGAAGGGAACTTACTTGATCTGGTAAAAGATATGAAAATTTGGAGCTAACAACATACTTAATAGTGAAAGCCTAAATGCTACCCCCCTAAGATCAGGAACAAGAAAATAAAGGAAAGAAAGTATCAACTCTCACCACATCTATTCAACATCATACTGTAGATTCAAACAGAATCAGTAAAGAAATAAAAGGCATAAAAATCAGAAAAAAAAAGAAACACTGTCTCTTATTTGCATATGACATGATGGTTTACATAAAAAATCCTAAGTAATCTTTAAAGTAACTACTGTAAGAAATGAATTTTACAAGTGGCTATAAATACAATATGCAAATATGCAACATGCAAGCACCTATTAAAAACTGAAACAACTGGTCAATGAATTTTTTAAATATCCATTTAAGACAGCACTAGGGAAAAAAAATCCACAAAATACTTAGGAATAAATTGAGCAGAAAATGTGCAAGACCTTTAAACTAAAAACTGCCAAAAAAAAATAAATAAAAAGGTGAATTTTTTAAACCTAAATAAATGGGGAGAACTAACATGTTAGGTTTTGGAAAACTTAATATTATCAAAATATCACTTCTCACCAATTGACCTATAGATACATGGTAACACCTATCAGAATCCAGGGCATTTTTTGTTTGTTTTTAGAAATCTGACATGGTGATTTTTAAACCTTCTGGAAATAAAAAGGACCTAGAACATCTAGAACAATCTTGAAAAGGAACCAAGATAGAATAGTTATACAACTTGACATTAGATTTGCTGTAAAGGTACACGGCATGAACAAAGTGTGGTGATGGCATATGGGCTGACAAATACATCACTGGAAGAGAAGAGTGGAAAAACCCAGTACCTTTAAGAAGAAACAGAACATATTTGGATCAAATCTTCAAAGAGTTAAGATATATCTCCACTGGGACAAATATGTCAAAATAAGTTTGAATTTACCATAGTTGGGGGAACATTTCCGCTTACTTAGGTCTTGCTAAATTTAAAGTGTATTTAGTAATAAATAAGAGTTAATACAAAATGAAAGGACCCGAAAGTTGAAAACTGAATGAAATGAAAAATAAAGCAGATAATATTAAATAATTTTTCAGATTTGTAAATCAAAGTCCCCAGAATGCTTCTGTGAAAATACTCTGCTCTGGAGATTTTGAATTCTTTTTATTATTATGCTAACTATTATTACACTTCCGTCAACCAGAAAAATACTTTAACATAATAGGCAAAAAGAGACCATTTAATGCCCAGAAGCCTAGAAAAGAAAGAAAGGGAACAGGAAGGAGAGCAGAAGAGAAAAAGCAGATAAACAGATGTATAGCAAAAAAAAATTTCAAAAAAGGTATCCAAATGACAGTAAAAATCACGGGCAGAATGTTCGTTAAGCAACCTAATACAGCCATGTAACATTCTCAAGGAGTTAATAAAATTGCAGACCTTTGTTACTGCAAGTTTCATGGAATGCAGAATTTGATTTTTTTTCTGTTTTCATATAAGAAGTACAAATAAAATTGATTCTCAATATTAAATGATATAAGGGAACTACAAATGGATACCAGCATGAGATCACCTTGAAGGAAAATAATAAAATGTCTGTTTCCTTCCTTACTCCTAATTCCTCTGCTTGAACACACATTCCCACATCACTAAGAAATTATATCAGCTGAAGGTCTATGACCATTTAAAAGTTTGAAAATTGGTAGAAGTCTAAAGATGTGCTATTAATTAAAGATGATTAGCACAATAACCATGGATTAAGAAACAGTAATCAAAAAATAAGACTGACTGCTCTCTGTTCCTGGTGCCCCAGAACATAACTTCTATTTCCAAAGTAAAGTTAAAAAACAAAACAAACAAACAAACAAAAAACTACCTCAGAGATGAAAGGTAACTCCTAAGGAAAATTTTTAAATGGAAATACCTGATAACATATAGATTGATGATGTAGCTAAATTTTGGGAGGCTTACAGGGCACAAATAAAGAAGTCATTCCCCTGTCATTTTCACCTGGCAAAAGTAATGGGTGTGGACCTGAATATGCAATACCTATACCTTCATAAGGAAATTTTGACAATTATCATAATGTAAGTAATCTTAAATTCCAAGTATTTAAAAATAACATTTTCTTACAAAGTGCTTCTTATCACCGAGGAGTAACCAGAGACAGGACACAACACTGCAGGAAGTTACTGAGTGTGAACAGTATGAAGTATAACATGAAAGAGAAAACTAAATTGGACTGCTGCTGGGAGCTTCAGCCTAATTTCTGCCTTAAACACAGACACAGGATGCTGGTTTTAGAGCAATATGAAAATGGTTAACAAACATGGTAGATCAAATTTATAATTTTAGGATGGGTAACAGTAACACCGAGAGAATTCTACTTGTTTAGTAATTATAAATTAACATGGAACAGCAAATAAGGTCAAAGAAAAAAAAATCATCTCTCTTAACATAGTTACAAGATGCTAAATTTTAAAGCATTTCATAAAAATATTAACTGTATTATGTTCTTGTCATTTGTTATTTGATGAAGTTTTTACTGCTGAATTTCCTAAATGTGGGGGGGTGGATTTGATGTGTTCAATAAATAGCTAAGATGCTTACTTACACACTGAGGATGTTCATTTTTTTCTTTTTTTAATTTCTCCAGCCTCACATAACATACCTTAGACAGTCTTTTGGAAGATTCACAACTATGGTCCACACATGGCTTAGGTCCTTTTTCAGTGTCTAGAGATGAAACTGAGAAAATACATTATATTTTATCAAGGGCCCAAAGTCTGTATCACAGTATGAAAATTGGTTTTTGAAATATGAAACAGGTCATTTATCTAATATTTCTCTTCCACTAATAATTAAGCAATTTCCTAATGTTCAACTATACTATTCAGCTATAAATCTAAGCCAAAGATTTGTTTTATATAAATCAGGAAAACCTCACTATTACAGTGAACCTAAGAATTAATAATAATGTTAGTAACAATAACAACAGTGCCTGATGATGATAATGATGAGAAGAATAGACTACAGCAGAAACACATGAAATAGAGAACAGAAAAATCATAGAAAAGCTTCACCAAACTAAGAGTTGCTTCTTTGAAAAGTAAACAAAATTTATAACCCCTTAGTGAAACTAACCAAGGAAAAAAGGGCCCAAACCAACAAAATTATAAATAAAAAAGGAGATACAACAACCGATAACATGGAAATTCAAGGGATCATTAAGAGGCTACTAGGAATAACTATACACCACTTAATTGTACAATGTGGAAGACATAAAAACTTGTGGAGACAATAAAAATCAAAGAGGAAATCAGAAAAAGATGACTTAAGGATTTCCATTAAATAATCTTTCTAAATTATTACATCAACTTAATTACCACAGTTCTAAAACCTTCAGCTACTTCCCACTATTGATCAAAATATATAAAAAGAAATCTGATTTCTATCCCTAGGTTTAGCACTAATAAACACTGGCACATTATTTAATATCTCTTTGAGACCCAGTCTCTGCTCTGTAAAACAAGGGCTAAATATTACGATTTTGTCATTCTTTCTAGCTGTGAAAATATGATTTAAAATATAAATATGTCAATCTTAACAATCTAAGCTATCTATAACCACAAGCAATCATGACTATTTTACTTTCCACAAATTCTCTATATGAGAATATAGATTCTTGCTCATATTATCAACATTTGCCTGATATTATATAAAATATGTCAGATGGATAAGCACTGATATGAAGATAATAAAATTGACCATAAAAGTATTAATAATGCAGAATACACTTGTAGAATACTGGGAAATCTTCGTTATTGTGATATTCTTTTTTATTATCTCCCCAAACCAGTACACATCATGAAATTTCCCTGTTGCCATCTGAACTGATATCATAAAGTATTATAAAACATCACAAAAAAGACAATATAGTACATCAGAGTGATTTTATAAAATCAAACAGAACAGATGTTAAGCTGAAGCAGATCTCCAAGCAGGACTATAGATTTGGAAAAAAGTATTTTTTTTATGGACTATTTTTTAAATCCTTTAAAAATGAGACCATCATAAAAATAGACCCAGGAGGGGCGCCTGGGTGACTCAGATGATTAAACATTGCCTTTGGCTCAGGTCATGATCCCAGGGTCCTGGGATTGAGGCCCGCATTGGGCTCCCTGCTTGGTGGGGAGCCTGCTTCTCCCTCTCCCTCTACTGTTCCCCCTGCTTGTGCTCTCTCACTCTCTCTCTGTCAAATAAATAAATAAATAAAATCTTTAAAAAACAGACCCAGGAAATTCAAAATCTCTAGACTTATGTTATCAAAAATATACAGTGGCGTTAAAGAAAGCATTTTCAAAATGTAGCCAAATATTTAAAATATTATTTACCTAAGGTAAAGCTTTTGAAACTACTGTTCATTATGAATTCAGAAGATGGTAGACCAGAGTCTACCAATTTATCATAGTATGATTATGAGATCAGATTATGAAGATACACAATTTTGTTTTTAATTTGAATCTGTATAAAAGTTTAAGGCAAATTTAAAAATCCATCAAAATATGCTATTCATTGGGGTGCCTGGGTGGCTCAGTCGTTTAAGTGTCTGCCTTCAGCTCAGGTCATGATCGGGCTCCCTCTTCGGCGGGGAGTCTGCTTCTCCCTCTGCCCCTCACCCTGCTCATGTTAGCTCTCTTTCTCAAATGAATAAACAAAATCTTTTAAAAAAATTACTCTGTATTAAACTAAAGCAAAATTGCTGGAAACAATAACAGAGAACCCACAGAAATTATCCAGACTCTAGAAGCAGTACAGACAGTGATTAATCAAGTCATTAACATCTAGAATGTTTACGTTATAATTCAGTACTAAAGGTAGTAAGAGCCAACAGGCAAATATATTCCCCCTGCTGCCCAATACCGTGTTAGGTAAACCACACAACACTTATGCTGTCTAGATCAGTTCACTCAATTAGCTCTCTGGATCTGACAGAGCAGTTTCTTTCTGAACCCCTGCCTCCTTTGATATACCTGCTTTACTTAGGCTAGACGGCAAAGCTCATCTTATATGAAATTATGTACTCTTTTTTTTATCTTTTTATATGAAACTTTCTACAAAATTTAAAAATGAAAAAGACAAAAATGACAGCTGTAAAGTGGTAAAGTAGGATACTTCAAGCCACATCCTACCACAGAAATGCTGACAAAAATGACCCAAAACAGTCAAAATCAAGTTTGTTGAAACGCTGGAAAATACCTCATTTTTACATCAATGAAGAAAATGCTGAGTCAACAGAAGTTGACTTATGCACAGCACTTAAAGAATCTTTTATCAGAACATTAGCTAACATCAAGCTAAAGGACATGAGAGATCACATACAACGAATATAGTCTTTACAAACATAGTTTAGATAAGTCACTAAACAAACAACTACAACCCACATGAGCAACAAAAACACAAGAGAGGTGGAAGAATCTGACTTCATGATTACTACCTGTAAGAATATTAAAAATGTACAGTTTTCAAAAAAAATTATAAGGAATGTGAAGAAAGAAGAGTACGAACCAACAGCCAAAAAAACACAAAAACAAACTATCCCTGAAGAAGCACAGAAATTGGAATTACTAGACAGATTCTATATCAACGGTATTAAATATACTCAGAAAACTAAAGGAAATAATGAACATAGAACAACAAAAAGGAAAATGATTTCTCAACAAACAGAACATATTAATAAAGTGAAAGATGACATAAAAAGAAACCAAAAAGAAATTCTGGAACTGACGGTTACAACAATGAAAATGAAAAACTCACTGTAGGCTTTCAATTACAGATTTGATCTTGTGAAAGAATCAGTAAACTTGAGGATAGGTAAACTGAAATTATCAGTTAGAGGAGCAGAAAGAAAAATCAGGAAAAGAAATGAAAGCCTAAGAGACCTGTGACACATCAAGGGTACCAACATATGCATAATGGGGGTCAAAGGTGAAAAAAAAAATGAACTAAAAGAACATTTGAAAAATTAATGCCAGTAATGTCCCAATTTGATAAAAGACACTATCTACATATCCAAAAAGATCAATGGAATTCAAGTAGGATAAAGGCAAGGAATTTAACAGTGAAACACATTATAACCAATCTGTCAAAAATCAAAGTCAAAGAAATTATCTTGAAAGCAGAAAGAGAGAGAAGAAAAAAAGGAAGTTGTCACTTATTGTAAGTCCATAAAAAGATTAATAGCAGATTTCTTTTTTTTTTTAAAGATTTTTTTTAAATTTTATTTATTTATTCATGAGAGACAGAGAGAGAGAGAGGCAGAGGCAGAGGGAGAAGCAGGCACCCCGCAGAGCAGGGAGCCCAATGCTGGACTCGATCCCAGGACCCCAGGATCATGACCTGAGCCGAAGGCAGACGCTTAATGACTGAGCCACCCAGGCGTCCCAATAGCAGATTTCTTGTAAAAAACAAAACAAAACAAAAAAAACCCATGGAGGTCAAAGGCAGTGAGATAACATATTTAAAGTGTTAAAAGAAAAACACTTCCAACCAAGAATCCTGTATCTGGAAAAGTATCCTTCAGAAATGAAGAAGAAAGTAAAATATTCCAACCACAACGTTTGCAACATTAACTAATAACAGGATGACAGACAGTAATTCAATGCTATGCAAAGAAATAAAGAATAGTGTAAAATCAACTCCACAGACATATGGCAATATTGTTGTATTTTTATTCTTTTAACTTCACTTTTTTTATGTATATGATTAAAAAGAAATACATAAGATAATAATCATAAATCTATGTTAGTGGGCAACAATGTATAATAATGCAATTACTGAGAACACCATAGGGAGGAAGGAACAAACTATACTGGAGCAGAGTTTTGGTACACTGTTCAAACTAGGCTAGTATTCAAACTATACAGTTACATATTCAAGTTATTAACTGTAAAACTCAGGATAGCTGCCAAGAAAATAACTGGAATATATTCAGAAAAGGAAATGAGAATAAAATCAAAATGTTATTTTATAGTCAATTAAACACAAGAAAAATCAGTAACAGAACCATTAAGAAATAAAAAAGATAAAAGAGAACTTCTGGTTTATAGTCCAACATGAAAGGCACTTGGATGCTGTCACTCCTGTCCTCACAGGAAAAGAGGTAAACAAACTGAGACTCACAAACTCTTCTTTGATTCACTAGACAACTGAGGTCTCAAGGAAAACTGCTGCCCACACAACTTTAGGGAAAAAAAGGTGGATATGGAGAATTATTGCTTACCAGGAGCAGAAGCCCTAGAACAAGAGCCTGCCAGGGGAGCTAGTACCAGTAGGAAAAAACTGCAACTTAGAATCTGTTGAAGCCTCACAATAAGAAAGCTCAAATATTAAAAAATTCCAGCTCACAGAGACCTCCACACTTTCACGAGTTTTGCCTCCATCGGTCCCAAGAGGCTCTCAGGGAGGGGACTGAAAACAAATCCCCTTGTGCTTCTAACATGAAGAAGAATAAAATAAACATTTTGAAATGCACCAAGAATATTCACTTGTCTTCAATAAAAGTTTGCCCTAAAGAGAAATATTTTACCACAGCTTAAGCACCTTAAGGTTTACCGGAGTCTAAATGACCTTGCAGACTGGAAATATCCAACTCCAACTACCTATAGGCTTTCAGTGCAAACCAAGAAAGAGGAGGAAAAACACTGCTGAAGGTTTCACACCAAAGGTCTAAGCTGTCTAAAATCTTG